TTCATAAGGTATATTTTATAGTCCCATTAATTTGACAATTCTGAACTTTTCTTGAATTTTTTACATTTATCAACAATGTAAATAAAAATCCTATCTTTTCGTAGGTAAGAATTAAAAATGAGTTAATTAAGCTATAAATCGCAAAATGTGAACAAATTTTTGAAAAAACCACATAACTAAAAGATTTCAATTTTTGATTCCAAATAACAATTACAATGAACTGAAAATTCTTTTTATTGGCAATAATCAATAATGTTGAAAAAAAATTTTATTTCGGTCACTTGTAATCGTTTTCGATTAAGGAAATTTATCCTAATTATTTATAACAATTATCAGTGACAGAAATTGTGCTTACGTTACTCATAACAGGCGAGAAAAATTGATTTCAATTGTTCATAACAGTTATCAATAAAAGAAATTATATTTTACAATGTATTCACTTCTACATTCTACTGAATGTTCTCAATCAAGAAATTGGCATTTCTATTTCTCAGATATATTACAAATTATCTTCAAAGTTTCAGAAAGATTCACTTTGGTGCTCTTAAAATAATCTTCGATATCTCCAGTTTTAAATATAAAATTTCGGTAGCGCGCGTAATCTGAACTAAGCTGTGTTCAAATCGCAAGTTGTAAATCGCAATTTACAATACGAACTCGTTCGTAGACGAACGCTGGAATGTTGGTCAACCTGAAATCGCATTGAATGAAAAATTGATGAGCTGTGAGCATCCGCAGTGCGCATCGTGTGTTGTGTTGTGAATGGTGTCGTTACGAGCCACTTTCAGCCAAAAGTTTACTGTCTGGCCTATGATCTGCGGCCGCGAAAATGTTTGTGCGTGACATTTAAACATCGACGTGCACGCGCAGTGATTCTGTGGAAAATCTAAATGAGAAAAGCGTCCGCTCTTAGTTTCCGTACGACGATATAATCGTGTTGTTCGTAGAGCGGGAACTGTCGAATATCACACAATGGCAGATTTCGACGCGATCTACGAAGAGGAGGAAGAAAATGAACAAAATTTGGAGGAACATTACGTGACAATGGTGCCGGATCCCATAGTTATTCGGGGAGCTGGAAACATGACTGTGTAAGAAAACTTCTATTGTCTTTTCCATCGTTACGTACATACGGGCTTCAAGATCTTTTGAGGACAAATGAACAAGGCTACAAACGTTTTTTTACTGAAGATATCATCAGATTCATCATTTTTTTTGTATTTTGAACGATGTTCATATTATATATGGTGCCACTCAAAAGTGTTCAAACGCTCGCTATTAACGCATTACTTACTAGTAGTTATCAAATTATCTTTAGAAGTCTGTGATTCACAACTAAGGATTCCTTCATGAATTTTTCATTTATTATAATAGTTTCAATCACGTGTCAGAGAATCACTGTCAATAACATAATTTAAATCATTGCATTTAGAATTATTATTCGAGCGAATATTTTAAGTATATTAATACTTTCTCAAAATGTAAAATATCTAAACAAGTGTTTTAAACTATAAATGATAATAATATGCATGTCAGACTGTAAGTTCTGAAAGTAATGTTTTATGTATTGTACAACACGAGT